TGGAGATGGGTATGTGATAGAATTTATGACAAAAGACACCCAAACTCAAGTTGGACAAGTATAGTAGAACCATCAGTCAAGCAGACTATCTTTCACCAATTTTATCATAACTCCTGGTTCGAAAGTCCAAATTGTGCACCATTTTTTTTGTTAGAAGCTTAACTCGTATATCTTTCCAACCATACCGGTCACACATGCTAGAAATACCTGAGTTAAATTAATTTATTCTCCGAAGTTGATCAAAAATCTGCACTATGGTATTCCTTGTATAGCAAAGTGGCGTGCTTTTCTTCTTAGACTCTGAAGGACTTATCTTTAAGCAAGCTGCCACTCTATTTAGGTTTTGATTTAGAGACACCCCCATGTTAATTAAAGTATTAATGGATTAGAAGGGTCATAAGTTGGATATTCATTAAGGAAGATATACTTACGTAATCTTATTTCGCGGTGGGCTTAGTTCACTACACTTAGACTCTTTAAAGTATTAACAATCAAAAATCTCTGGATTGAGGGTGGAGTTTATAGTTCATTTGTATTTACAAATTTTGATTGGAAATTTGAGGTCGAGTTATGAAAACGAACTCATAGACATGTAAAAAAGGAAATCTAGGAGGCCTGACTAAATTATAGTAGTTACATTTGACCCTATATATTGTAGGATTAAATACTATAGAGGTTTAAAAGATCGAGGTTAGATATATCAGATAAGTATTAAAATAAGAATAATATCCAAAGTTTGATATGAACATTTATTGTTCTGCAAAATCTTTTAATGTTATTGGAGTTGTGTTGAGGGAATATGAAGTTCTTTTTTTTTGTCTCTTTTAGTACTTTGTTAAGATAGGTATGATTAGTTATACTTGAGGATTGTTAGTATGAGTATTGAAGAGTCAAACTATACAGTTAGTGATGATAATTGGAAGAATGTAATTTGAGGAATCAGTGAGGATTGACTTTCATCATGAGTGTAGAAACTTTATGTAATTTTTGGGATAGATGACTATGGTTATCCTATTAATTAGCAGATTGTTGTTACCATGGGATTATGAATAATGGCTAAGGTTTCGATGACTAATGTAATTAAATTGAAGAACATTAAGTGAATCATTGAGAGTCTTATTTTAGTTTTGATTATATCATAAAAATTTAGTGATAGAGAATTAAGAGATATTTTGGGATCCTTGACAGTTTATCTTTACATTTTGGTATATTACAATATATATATTATACTGGACTATATCCTAGGGATTCGAAAGTATAAGTATCATGAAAAGAGTTGTGATGTTAATGAAAGCCACTAAGGATTAATTACCTTGTTTATTGATTCTAGCTCAATGTTAGAGATTGAGAATAAATACTTGAAAGAACAAAAATAACATAATAATAATTGGCCTTAATCGAGTTGGTGAACATGTAGAGATATTAAGATTGATGTAAAAGTACGAATCCGAACACAAGTGAGTTATGAAGGGGATTGTAAGGCTTATTGATTTGAGCTCAAGATTGGGGACTGAAAGCAAATATCTTAGAGATATAACTTGACCCTTAGCCTAAGTATTATAGTTGGTTAATTACGAAAATTCCCTTTGAATGGATTTGATGGATCATTAGTGTACACATTTTGGAAGCTATAATTGGAAAACAAGTGCAGTTAGGTTTCAATTGTACACTTTGGTGGAATCTAACATATTTTCTCAGAACTTTCAAATCTATGCGAATTTCTTATCTTGTAGCTTATTTTGATTTGTGAATTGGTGGATTATAATTTATATCAGAGTGCACAGCGAACTATTTGAGTAATGGCTACACTAGTGAAGGTAAGGAGTATCATGAAGAATTGCAACCTAAGAGTTGATCCTAGAATATTAACTTATGTGGGAGTGTGTAGTTATGAATTGAAATTATTGTAAATTTCAAAGACTATGAATTCTATTGGCTAGTGAGAGACAAAGTCATTAAGAATGTTGTATCTATTTCAGTAATCAAAATAAATCTTAGCGTAATGTCAATACTAAGTTTTGTGTTACACCACGATGTTAGTATAGGAAAGATGAGTAACCTTATTAGCGGAATTACATTTGGGTTATTTTGATATGCTTATGAATAAGCTACATGTAGGAAACAAATATAAGGTTTTATTGAAACGATTGGTGAAATTCAAGAGAGAAGTGATATTTGATGAGTAGACAATTAAGTACTATGAGCTAGTAGTTATGCAGGATAAGAGTTGGAACAATCGTATACAATTATTGAGAATAAAGGTGATAAATGAATTCCAGTGAAGGAAGTTAATCTTGGGGACTCTACCTATACTGAAATGATGTTATAAGTGGAAGGGATGGATTTAAATTATAGGATATGATGTTCTATGTTAATCTTGGATGTGATTTTTAAAGAATGAATAGAAGTGGAGACATCATGGCCAAATGAGAATTAGATAGACTAACTCGACGATTAAGTTTCGAGGACGAAACTTTCTTTTAGGGAGGTGGATTATAAGACCCCGTATTAAAAATTAAATAAGGATACTATTATCTTAAGATTTCTCCTAAGATGAATAAAATGATGGTATAAACTTACAATCATTGTTGAAAGATTGATCATGAAGTTTGAGTTTCGAACGAATTGACTTTTGGGTCAAATTTAGTTTTGAATATGTTTAATCTTGAGAATAGTGATTAGATAAGTGTCTAAATTTTTTTTAGGTCAAGATAAGGTCTCCATTGAATCCGGAAGGTTGAAAACCCTTTGGAGAGGTAATATGTGGTGTATTAGAAGTTAGGAAGTATTTCGGAGTTTAAACACATTTCAGATAGAATTTGGGTTAGAGGGAATTTGACACTCCCTTACTAATTTGATCATAACTTTTTAACCTGATACTAGACTTCTAGGGCTACAAAAGTGTATTTTACGAAAAATTTTCAAATCGACCTTTAAATAGGCCAAAACTTCACTGAACATTCCAGCAGAAACAGGGAATCCGTTCGGACATGAATGTCCATTCGAACGACCTACGTTCGAACGTGAAAGTACGTTCGAATGACAGTTCGTTCCAGTACTTTGTCTCTGATGGAAAAACAAAAGTACTGGGGGCAACCTACGTTCAAACGCCAATGACGTTCGAACGTGAGCAACTAATCAAAACATTATAATTACGTCGGTTGAACTCTTTTTCTTCCCCTATAAATGCATAAGGCCGCCTCCCTTAGCCTCCACACAACATTTACAACCCTAGAAAGCCTTGAGAAACAAGAAAGAAGGGCAGAAACACAAGATCAAGAGGGATTTGCACATTGAAGATAATCAAAACTTCAAATTTTTCAAGAACACCAAGGAAGAAAAAAGGTAGGGGTTTCTTCCACTCTTGTTCATTGATGTTAGGACTTATATATATACATGTTTTGACTCTTAATCATATATATTTGTTATGGAATCCTTGTTTCTTGATGTTCTTGCAAACCTTACCATGTTTTAAAGGAAGTAATGGTGTGATAGCCATGAAAATTCATGTTCTTGATGTCAAAACCTAATTTTTGAGAAAAATGAATTTTTCTTCTTGATATTCTTTTGTTCTTGATTCAAAAACTTTAGTGCTTTATTTGGAACAATAAAAGCCTATCTTTGGATGATCTCTTGCTTATTCTCTTGAATTGTTATGTTGAAAAAATACCTATGGAATTGAGAAATTTTTATTTCCTTGTGATTTGAGAAATATCTACGGAATTGGGGGTTTTTGGATTTACTTGTGATTGAGAAAATGGTTGGTATTGTATCTCTTGTGTGGTTGTTTGGATGAACATGGGTGACTATTGACCAGATATCGTAGAGTAGATATATGCGTTTCTTATTCCGTGCGGTTTTAATTTTTTCTACCACTCGTAATGGGGTTGGTGCCTTGCGAGAACTAAACCACTATTCGCTAACGTGATACCAAGGCTGAGGGTTAGTATACTATTCCTGGGTTGGATTTGTCATTGCCGATAGGCCAGTACATGCCCTTCCTAAAGTTAGAATCCTTTGCGAGGATTGGGTGTGTGTGTGTGGGCCAAGATATTTTCAATGTTTATATTCATGCGAGGTCTTACTTCCTACCCGAGATATAAGTGTAGATACAAATATACAAGTGTGGTTAATGATACAGATGCAATTGGGGATACATATACAAATGTTGTGGAAATGGTTTAATGATGGGATTATTTACTCTTTGAAAATTGGTTTTACTCTTCATTTAATTTATTGCTATTGCGTTAACTTGAGATCAAATAAATTGTCACTGTTTTATTTTAAATTATATATGATATTTTGGAAAGTGAGACCGCACTGTTTTATATGTTTTCTAAATCGTGTTCAAGTTTGGGAGGATGTTGCTACAGAACTTAGTGCTCACCTCCTACAAACAATATTTATTCTCGAATTTCGATTTAGAGGAAGAACTCAGAGTTGATGAGCAGGTAGCTTGGGAAGCTCAATTAGATGGAAGTGTGGATCCCGAGAGGGATGTCTAGAGTTGCTCTCCTTATGTCCTAGACTAGGATATGCATTTTGAGATAATGTATGAATGATATTTTGTTTATTCCGCTACAAGATTAAGGTTGATCTTTAAATGTAATTGTCATGGTTTGACATATTCTTTTGGATGATATTGTAGATATTATGTATGATGAATGAAATTCTCTTTATCTATGGATTTTATTAGTTGCTCTCATGATGTGAATGGTTTGAAATAGTAATGTCGTCCAAAGTGAATTTTGGGGCGTTACAGATTGCCCCGTGAACCATAGGGTTTATGTAGCCGAATAGAAACTAATTCCTTTTATAAATGGTCAACAAAATTGATGTGTTTATACTTAAAACTTGTTATTTTTATAATTATTATAACTTTATAGAACATTCATTATTATTTTTATATATTTGTTATTTTTAATTATTACATATCCGACTTGTTGAACGAGTGACCTGGTTGCTTTATTGGGGTGTGTGCAGGCCAAGTTTGATCACCATGATTATTCTTTATTGTCAAATCCCAAGTCATACGCCTTGGCGAAATACAAAAAGGAGCTGGAAAAAAAATAACCATACTAATGGAACCTTGTATCCTAACACCGCAGATTATCACCAGGTGAAACACCAAATTGGTTACAATAATCTGTGTAATACGCGACACGGGCATTTACAGTGTCAGGATTTGCACCATTGCATTCAAGTTGGCCATTAATGGCGCGAATGGTTTCTCCGAACCCTTGGCCTGAGGTTATGATAGAGTGAACGAAATTCATCCAATACCACAAGGCGGTCTTGAAGGACACAAGGTTGTCCGTGGCCACAATCTCGGGATTGTTTAGTCCATCGAATCCTATGCTCCTTCCGGCTGGCCCATAGTTGAAATTCCATGATAGCTGAATAGGACCTCGGCCATAGTAACCCTTGTTAGGTGCACATGGATACTGTGTGTTAGTCTCATCACAGTAGTCCTTAGAAGGACCATCTATCTCTTCTATATAGCAAAAGTCTGCAGAAAAAGATTGTGCCCGTTACACTTTGCCTTATTTAATTTGACTGTAGAAAACTAATAATACAATGAAACTTATGGTACATATATTATGAGTATGTACTTACATGAAGTTTGCACCCAGATATAGATATTTGCTTCAAGTTAGTACTTGGTATAATTATAAGCATGGAAGCATTCAAGACAGACATACAGTAAACATGAGCACGAGCTCAGAACCTCTCCAAAACCTGCAGGGTTTAGATTGTCTCCGAGATCCGGTTATAAACGGGAAGTGCTGACTTTTTTAAGCACAAACTTGCATAAGCATAGACATATGAATTTTGGTTCCTCTCAATTTCAATTTTTATCCATTTCGGCCATAAATTCATTGGGTCAAACTGGGGCCTGTTGTAGACAGACCTCGCGGACCTTTACGAATCCATTGGTGCAATCCAATAAATTTAGAATAAGATGATTGAAGTTGACCAAATTTAGCAAAATATGAAACTGAAGAGATTCTTACATATTATAGAAAATAAATGTACTTTGGGATGTATTTTTTATGTAGAAATATGTTGAACAAGCAGAGATATATATCTCAAAAACTTACGTCCAGTCTCATGAGTGGCATGAGCAAAGAAAGCGGCAATCTCACGCTTAGAATCATCAACGGAACCAATCCTGCCAAACTGTGAATATGAATTGAGTGCTTCAAGAAATACAGCTCGTGTGTAGAAGCCTTTCCCGGCACAATTAGCGCCAGCTTGATCAGCAATCCCATTGAAGAAAGCATCCGTCACAATATCAGCAACTGAAACATCATTAGGACTAGGTGGTGCAAAACAAGGGCCTTCTTGGCACCCTGCGCCGCAATAGGCACTGTCGCTACCGCAATATCCATACTGGCTACAGCACAGGTCTGGAGCACAACCACAGTTCTGACCCACAACAAATTCCGGCACTGCTAACGCGAGAAGTCCGGCCACAAAAATCGTTAGAAAGTTTTGTCTTACACTAGAGGCCATAGCTAGCTGTTTTAGTATGAGGTATAGAAAACAGGCTAATTGTGTTTTTAAGAACACGGTTGGGAGTTAGAGCCATATATAATGGAAAAAGTTCCCTGGTTGTCTGGAATTCTACATTGTGCACCCGTTTTCCACGCAAAGCATGTTGGCGGGTTCGGTTTGTGGATTGACTTTGACTTGTCAATAAAAAAAAGAAACAGTTATGTTAGATTGGTCAAAATTTAAGATCAAATTTAAAACTCAAATGATTGATTTTGGTTTTTTTAATTGGTGTTATATTATTTAGACCCTAATAAAAATTACAAATAATCAACTGTCATGTCATTTAGGTTTCAAATTTAATCCCAAATTTTAATCGGTATTCATTACTCAAAAATTAAACTAAGTTGATTTTTCTTCCAATGAACATTTATGCGTGTGCTACATCAAAATCATCTCATCCTCACGTTTCGAGTGCACTAAATATGAGCAACCGCACTTTGAAGAGAGTGGACCAAAATCGATTCAATGTCAGTTTATAGAGTTGGGATGCAATCCTTATCCACGACAGGTGAAAAACAAAATGATTGATTAACTTAGATAGTACAAGTTCAAAAAATAAAAAATTTGAACAGTGTTGTACAGACCTAATTCAATGCGTCATTAAATTAATTATAAATTATAATTTTAAATGAAACTCATTTTGAATTCAATTATTACATTGAATTAAATTTCTAAATTAAGTACTCAAAATAAAACCCACAATGAATCCAATAAATATATTAAATTAGATTGCTCTTTAAATAATCAAATTCGGTCATCTAAGAAACTCTACACTGTCAATGTGAATGCAAGCAATTACTTAAAACGTTGAAATACCACGAGACATTTTTATTGAATTTGAGGCCCGCTGAAAGGGGCACTTCTATCGACTTGTCAACTGGAATTCGAGTTTTAATTTCTTTAGTATATATTAAATTCATTTATTCTTAAACGAAAATGATGGAATTGAAAACTTAACTTCATGGGTATTGAAGTTCTGGAAGATATAAAAGTAAGGATTTGAGTTTGGTATGAAATGAGGTATCATACTCAAGTTTATCATTTTTGTGAGCCGCTATATAAGTTTTTAGGGTGTAGTTATAAGTAAAAAAAATAATAAATTCTAATAAAAAAATTACAAATTTTAGTTTCATTAACAACTTTTTAGGTTTAAGTTTATACTTTTTTGGGGGGTTTGCAATCAATTATAACAGTTTTAGGATCAATCACAAATGTTTAAAATTGATAGCAAAAAAAAAATCCAAAAATTATAAATGATCTGCAAAAATTTTACAAAAAATTATATAAAATGGGGGTGAAACAGATGTTTTTTTTTTTTTTTCAGTTCAGTAGCGTTCTCCTAAAAGTAATACCCAACATTAGCTTTGACATGGATGCTTCGGAGCCTGTCACTGTGCCGTGAGACGACCGTTTGCATTGTTTTACCAAAAGCTCAAAAGAAACCTCTAGAATGCTATTTGCACCAATTTTTTGCATTATATCACATTTATTGGATGTATATTAAAGTTAGTGGGACCTATTAATCTATTTATGTATATCTATATTTATTATACTACTTATAAAAGTATTTTAGTATGAAAAATTTTTAATTTTCTATATTATCTTTACATAGATTTGTATATCCAATCATACCCTAATCTATTATATTTTACGTCAATGGTGCATATTAATCTATGAAAAAGTTAACACACTTTTATTCAAGTATCATCTCTATGTCTTCTCTACATGATGGAAGTATAATTGCAACTATTATTTACGGCAATAAAAACATGAAAAATAGTATGTCACTACAAATCAAAGTTATGGAAGCTAAAAAAGCTTAGTACAAGTGAAAGGGCAGAAAAAGTCATAAAAAGTCCAAAATGTTTAATGAATTGAAAAGGGCATAAGCCAAGTATAAATTCATCACATCCTCAATGCATAAAAGTCATTCCAATTTTGCAAATTACAAGCAGACCAACTATAATGGATTTCCACACCAAAGAAGCTAAGACATGACTGGTTAATGTACAACACTCGAGCCAGTGGTGGGGGCACACTCATGTAGTCAAGCCCATCCATGTTGGTTGCGTGGCATCTATGGCAGCAAAGGTGGCACCAACCGCAAGGACAATAGCAACTATTATTCTTTTGGTGGGTGTGATAGAGATTAACAAGCATGTCTCTAACATAAAAAATTGAGACGTTGGCCGGAAGAGTTAAAATAAAAAAATCTCATGAGTATAGGTACTTGATGGGCTAGCATTGTTTTGAAATTACGACAAACTCATATCTAAATGGACTAAAAGTTGGCTCATACACGATAAATCATTTCAATAACTAGGTTGAAAAAGGATGGGCTTGGTCTGGGTTAATCCAACAAGAAGTGCACCTCATGTCAAAGAGCGATAGTAACGCTTGGAAATCCGGCAATCAAAGATCACCATTCCACAATCAACGGAGCCACTCAAAAACTCCATATTTGAATTTCGAACTCAAAAAACCCATTGGTTTAGGCTCCTAAATTTCCCTTTAATAATGCTAGTAGGATCAACATTGCAATGGATAAGTCAGAAATCAAGCAAAGAACTAATCTGCTTTCTAGGGTTTGGTTTTCTTTACTCAATCTTCACCAGTAAATTTCTCATCAAGTATGTTCTCTTGTTCTAAACATAAAACCATGAACGAATCAAAATCAATTATCTATTCCATAGATACTATGTCATCTACTTCAAAAACACAAAAACACAAAAACAAAAAAACAAAAAACAAAAAAAACAAAAATTGATGATATGACATATTCTCGAACTTTATAAAAGAGTATGAGTTTATATATTTCTTCTATTCGAATGAAATTTGCTAAAAAATCTGTTAAATGAGGAGAACATTTACAATTTTTAGTTGTGTTTCTGTTTCATGTTACTGTATCAAAATCATCAATGGTGTTTTCCAATTTATTTTTTAAAATAATATTTTTAACTGTTGAATTTTTGGTTTGTTAAAAAACAAATCCTTGTTTAAAAAAAAATATGTACATTTTGTTCCCATATTGTTAACAATCGATGCTACTTTGTCAATGCTCCTATTCTCTAGGTTAATGGAAAGGACAAGAGGATAATCACAAAATCAAAAACAAAATTTTCAACTGTTGAATTTATGAGGCCGAATAAATAAAATCCTAATTTAAAAATAGAAAAATTCTTGTTAACAAGCTGTTATAGGTGAGGCATTTCAATTGATTACGATGTAAGTATATGAAAAATGGTGAAATGCTCTTCTTGATCCAAATCCTACAAATTTGTTTTGGTGTGTAATACTCGGCTGTATGGTGTCTCTTCAGCTTTGTTCTTGGGAAAAATATAAAAGGGGGGAAATTGTTTAAGCAATAAACGGTGATGAGAAAGAAGTAGGAGAAGGAAGAAAAAATAGGGAAAAAGAAAAGAAGAGAGAAGTGTTCAAGGGTTTCAGAAAGGAGAGTTAAGTTGTGGGTTTTGGAATTCTTGCATGTGTTCTTGAGTTGAGATGAATTTTCTCTTTGTGGGTTGCATGATCTTAGGTTGTGTAAAAAAAATGGAGGGGTGATAGTATTGAAGAGTTGAAGAACTCTAAACTCGAGGAGTTCAACGGATCACGGGTCGCAATGGAGGTAAGAAATTCTTGTGAATTATCATGTCTTCTCACTTCTAAATGTAGCTTTGAAGCATGGGTAAGTGTTGTAAGGTGTTAGAATTGAGTTTGGTTGGTAGAAGATGAAGTTTGAACTAAGTTCTGAATTTTAAAACAGGATTCAACCGGTTGATCATAGTATTAGTTAGGTATCAACTGGTTGAAGCATGTGTTGAACTGGTTGAACAAAGTACTGAATAGGTTTCAACCGGTTGAAGATCATGATCAACCGATTCATCAGGGCTAGTTTTGGTAAATTGTCTATGATGTTCTAGGCTTCCATTCAACTTTTCTAAAACCTTGGTGGGGCATTCAATGAACCTTAAATGGGTTCTTTATGGGTTTAATGGTTTGCAATTACACGGGTATAGGATCAAACAAAAATTAAAGTATGTAAAGTAAATAATATAGAAATAATGATGTGAGTCGTTTAAATACACAGTTGGGGAGAGAAGTAGAAATGTATTATCATGAGCGTGAATGAACATATATACATGCTTGATTGGAATTAAATGAATGCGCTAAGAACACTTATTTGTGAAATACTATGATATGTGATAGGAACTGAAATATCAACGTCTACATAGAAGGTTCCGACTGGAAATTAAATTGTTGTATTCTAGGACTTGAGATGAGTGGGCTTTTTCTTGTGGTTGATAATAGCTAAAGTATGCTTATGTGATGTTATTCAATAACCATGGTGAATTTAGACTTAAAAAGAGAATAAGTAGCCTTAATGGCATGATTACACCTTAGTGGCAGGTATATAGTCTGTATGGCAGATAAGTAGCCTTAATGGAATGATTACACCTTAGTGGCGGGTATATGACCTAAATAGCAAATAAGTAGCCTTAATGGCATGGTTATGTCTTAGTGGTAGATATATGTGGCCTAAATACCAGATAAGTAGTGGCAAACATATATAAATGTTTGACGTGTTCTTATTATGATTATTGCAAATCATTACCTGTTGACACTTGATAATTGTTGATGAGGGGTAAAATTACAATGTTAGTATTTATGCTAGTTCCATGTTAACAATGCATGTATTAGTGATGATGTTTGAAATATATTTTTGTTGTTATTAATTTAACAAAACTGTTCATTCACTGAGTGTGTTGTGCTCAACTCCCCTCCCCAATTTGTGGCTTTTTAGTAAAACGGAGGGAGACTGAAGTCCACTGCTGAATCCTAGAGAGTCAAGGAGTTTAAAGTTGAGACATGAAGTCATATTTTGTATATGTCTTGACATATAAATTTGCATAGCTACTAAGTATCAGTTCCATGTAGTTTAATTAAGAATTTAGTTGGGATTGTATATGAATGTGAGTTTAACTTTGCGTCTTTGGGTTT